ATACCTGGAACTTGGAAGCAGTTCACTTCGTGTTAACAAAGCTAAGCTCAAACCTTGGCAATGACAGGGCAAGGCTGCAAGCAAGAGCAAGGTGAATTGCCGGAGTGTCAACGTGACACGAACTAACTGCCGGGAGGAAGTTCGTGAGAGCAATTTGTATCCGTGCGCAGATCAAGGCAACTCGAGATGCATGCTTCCTGGCACACCGTTGACTCTGCCAGGGTCAGAGGACGCGATTAAGGATTATCTAACTGTCGGTACCAAAACCGTGAGTGAATAATTACCTGATTGGCAGTTTTGCTCTAATCCCACACGCGTGTGGATGGAAGTGGGGAATGTCGTACTTGCCAACGGCGCATGGTTAAATAATCGAAGCACGGCAAGCCAATAACCAAACCTCAAAATCACCTTCCTTCAAACTAAACTTCAAAAATCATCATTAAACGTAACGCAGCGTACAGATTCCTGATAAAACACCTTGTCAACTTTAAACACTTCTTACAAACTTCCTGCGCACCATATTTTCTGGTCTCGCTGGCTACCTCTCCCCAAGGACTGCCCGCTGCCTTGTTTGTGTCGAGCTTGTTTGTGCGCGGCTTCCTGACATTATTTTTTGATCGCGCTCTGCTGAGATTGGTGTGTTTGCTGCAGAAAGTGCAGGTGACCCGGACGATTGGTGTGCTATCGCGACACTTTCGAGACGGACTTTATATAGTCCGTCTGTATGTACGAAGGTGTCTGTTTGCCGCATGCGTCAGTCCGTGCCAGTCCGTGAGGCATTTGTCGGTCCACATCAATCCGTGAGACATGCGCTAGCATGTGTCAGTCCGTATACAGACTGTGGCACGCTTCAGTCATTGATGTATGTCAGTCTCACTTCGTGAAGCACTTGTCAGTTGTCAGTCCATGAGGCGTGTGTCGGTCTTTTTTGTCTCTGCAGTGTGCCAGATCCGGCAGTGTGTTGATGGCAGTATGCAAGTCCGTGACTTAGGTATGTCGGTCGGAAATATGTTAGTCGACGGACAGTGACGTTCTGTGACGTGTGTGTCAGCACGTGACGTGTGCCAGTTCATGGCATGTGTCCCACATTAATAGTGTCAGATGACGGTATTCACGCATTCTTTACGGGGCTGACTTGGACAGGTGAATGATGCAGAAATTCTATGCATAAAAGGCCCAGAGGTATCGTGACAGGATCCATACTTTTGACGAGCGGATTTGTTTAGTCCTTTTATGGCGTTTTGATTGTGATTCCTGCATTGACGGCTTAAAACTATCGCGGGCTTGGTAATACCTAGCTGTGCTACCGTGTCAAAAAAAAAAGAAAGATTGTGTCCGCATCCAATTTCTTTCTCAGATGTGATCAAAGTGAACCGATTCCAGTCGTAAAAGGACCATTCACCAATCGGACCTCCTATCGCCTTGAGCTAACAGCAGATGATACAATATTTAGTGTGGCATCATTTTCCTAAAGAAGCTCGTAAAATACGGAGGGCCGCGCATTATGAATAACCAAATGTTTGTCAACTTTCAATAGTACAAAAACTGGTGTTTATGTGCAGGCTTTCGCACAAAACTAGTTATTCCACCCGCGAATCAAAATAGCGTGCCCGAAACACCACCCCACCAGAAGTATCGAACCTGTAAACAACTGATACCCACTCCAATTCAGACTCTCCACCGAACCAGACCACACCAGCTCAATCCGGTTTCTCTGCCGTGCCTACCGTCCGCGAACGGCCTACTCCTCTGCGTCGAACGGTCTGATCTGTCTCAAGCCGGCCCTGCGGTTGTTACAGTGGATGGTGCGGCTCCATTGCAGCGGCGCCCGGCCCGGTCCGTCCCGACCCGGCTCGGCCCGGCCCGGCCCAGCTCGGCCCGTCCCGACCCAGCTCGCCCCGGCTCGCCCCGGCCCGGCCCGTCCCGACCCGGCCCGGCCCGGCTCGCCCCGGCCCGGCCCGGCTCGCCCCGGCTCGGCCCGTCGGTCGGCGCCGCGGTCCGGCCGTCTGAGGTCCTGACTGCGATCGATCGGCTGCCCCGGTTGACGCCCGCCGCTTTATGTCCGGCCTGGCCGTACCCGGCCGTACCGCCGTGCTCGGCCGTGCTCGAGCACGCCACGCACGTCCGCCGTCGGACGCCGCCCATCGCCGCACGCTGCCCGGCGGCACATCAATTTCTATCGTCACCCGCCAGGCGGGCTCGTGGCTTCGTGGACGGCCGAGTGGTGCGGATATGCCGTGTGTTGAGTGATAGCGGCCAGCATTTCAATCAGCCAAGCTTCACTGGAGTTCATCTCGCTGTGGCTGGCCAACAGATATCTGACAGAGTGCTCATGAGTCGCTTTCATTGCTTACAGAGACCCAAACAGTGCATCGAAACCTGCTCTGTCACTCTAACCATCACGTGAGCTTGCAGTCTGCCGTTCGCCCGCTCAGCCGTTGGAGCGGCGGTCGTTTTCGCTGAGGCAGCTCTCTCGCGGGCGATATCTCCAGTCGGTCACTGGCCGGACGCTCTCCGACGTTCGACGGCACGGGAAGGGAAAGCCTCCGCGCCGCCTCCGTCACCGCCGCCCGCCGCTCCCGACGGACCCGTGTGATGGAGACGGCCAGAGGCGTGGAATTCTGACCGGGTGCGGCCCCCGCTCACCGCGAAACGACTGCCTGGCGTGTCGTACCGTTACTACGACGGCTGGAATTTTGAGCCGCCGCCATGACCTGCTGCCCTTTGGCGGGCTCATGTGTGATATGGCAGCCAGATATGGCAGCAGGACGATATTGGAACATTACGCCGAGCACGGAGAAACGCCGGCGGACTGTCAAGCATCTCTCTCCCACCCTTTGGTTCAACGAGATAGCATGCATTTCATCGCTAAAAAAATTAAGTGTAGATTACAGAATACATCTGAGACACAGGTGTCTTCATTATCCATATTTATGCGTATCTAGCTGTCAGAAATATGCTTATTTTAGAGAAAGCAGTTGCAAAATGTATTTGCCAATATCGCAGATATTCGTTGCACGGAGTTTTGAGGAAGAGAGAAGTTTCGGGGAAATGGGCCGGGGGTATTATGGTCTTTAAGAGTATCTACTATCTAGTCATATCACTTATCCATTTATTTTTGCTTTCCTGATTGCACTGATTAGATATTAATCAAATCGGTAAAAATATATGTGTAGTGATTGGAGCTTACCCTCGCGGATCAGTATTCATCGCGTTTCTCGATCAACAATAAAACAGTAAAGCATAATTACCGCGAGCCAAAGTGACTCAAACTTCCATTTAAAAGTTTGGCCAACTTGAGCGGGGCGCCATTAGCTGGTTTTATTCATCCCACCAACGTCAATGTAGGTCTGAATCGTGACTGTCATGTGAAAGCACGCACAGTTCTGTTCATCTGTCGCCGATGAAAGTGCTCTCCATGAGAGCTGATATATGCAATGCTCTCTATAATTTCATGGCTATGTAAGGCCTCAATTAAAAGGAAATCATTGAAACATTGCTTTAAGCAAACAATATCCATTAAAAGTTCCCTAACAAAATTGCGGCTCGGTAAAACGAACATCTGACGAAGTGGAAAGTGGTCGTTACGATAATGGCACGAACGCATCCTTTCCCTGCAGGTTCAGATAACAACTGTAGCGTCTTTGTATGCATAGGCACAAATGAGGGGGCGGAATGATCGCTGTGCAAATGTCACAGTGCTCTGTTGACATATGTAGGCGAAAGAAAGGCCGGATTAGGATACTCCAGGAAGTGTCGCCGGAACTGACGAATGCCAGGGACTTCTAACGGTATCACCATGGTCACGATGGCGTTTTCACAAAGCAAACAAACCGCCGGCACTCTGCACATTGAGTCACTGTAGGGAATATGTCATTGAAAAGTTCATCACATTAGGATGAAAACATTTTCTGTTGCCAGAAAAAAAATGATTTTAAATGCATGCTTCTTCTTTATTTTAGTTGCTATTATGTCAAATATGTCAAGTCAAACTGGTTTCCTCCTTGATGATAAGATACGTGGTTTGCTGCTTGAAGCCTATAGTCTATTTAAGAAAACATCTTTTGATTGCCAGTCCCATTGTTAGAATTCACGACGGATTTAGAGCCACAGATCTACACATGTGACTCGTCTGTTCCCACTAAACCGATGTCGATGAGTCGAGGCCTGTCGCTCTTGTCGTTCAATATATTTTACTGCTTAGTTGCCTTAGCCACGGATTCATTGCGTGTGAAAGTGAAACTATCCAGGCACATTTCCTTCCAACCGCCAAACGGCCAAACAAAGAGGAACGACAAAATCAGCAAACAACTTCCACTGCTTACAGTCACAGCATGCATCTGATATTCAACTTCCCCTCAGCTGTTGTTGCACGTTCGAAAGGTCATGGTACAGGCATGGGCTGTGTAATCAATGTGCGGATTTGCCGTAATCCAGGGAGTATAGACCAAACACGTTTTACAGGCTGAACCGCAAGCCTGCTTAGTCCGCTGGAAACATGGTGCCTGACATGAATGTGAGAACCCGGCTCACTGGGCTGTTTCCATCTCCTATAGTTTAGATAGATAGATAGATAGAGAGAGAGAGAGAGAGAGAGAGAGAGAGAGAGAGAGAGAGAGAGAGAGAGAGAGAGGGAGAGAGGGAGAGAGAGAGAGAGAGAGAGAGAGAGAGAGAGAGAGAGAGAGAGAGAGAGAGAGAGAGAGAGAGAGAGAGAGAGAGAGAGAGAGAGAGAGGGAGAGAGAGATACCTCTCAGTACTGTATGTGGGTATTACCGGATTAAATACGAAAATAGGAATGGTGTTTGATGGTGTTTTTGGATTGGTGTTGTTGGAATAAAAGAAAGTCAGACATAGCGCAAAGTAAGGACATGCTTCGTCTCAAGTCACAAATACAATGCGTTCTACTTTGTTCAAGCAGCTAACCGCAGCAGTATTATGACCCAGTGAATGAACTGTGTTTATTAACACCGTTCCCTAACAATGTGTTTGTTGTGCTGCAGGAGTGGTACAAAGGATCGACGGTCCGTGCTCGTCGTCCAACGACTGTCAACTGATCGACCATGGCAAGTGCGATATGGCGACCGGCACCTGCCAGTGCGTCAAAACGCACCCGATCCCCAACGAAGTCAGCTGTCTCAGAGGTAAGCTACAGTGACAGTCAGTCAGGAAGGGTAAGGGATGAATATGGGGTAGGACGGAACGGCAAGGAACTTCAGCTGAGCTTTGAAAATGTTCTAAGTCCATTCGGCATTGCTATACAAAGACTCGAGGGTGCTGTCGTATTTTGTCTGCTAGGTCGGATAGCCGATTGGGAACATTTCTAAAGAGTAATTACTTCTTAAGCATTCCAGACATAGTGCTCTCTCATTCAAAATAGTTTTTGACAACGGTCATAGAGATTAGCACACAGAGTTTCAAAGCATTGATGGTGTCCATAGCTGGCAAGTTGTAAGTCATAGTCAAAATTCATTTATTCACCAGACACCTCTCCATCTGTAACTTTTTTCGACTGACAAACCCAACAGAGGAGCTTGATAGTAGGCAGACACATTTAAACCAGAAAGCTGATCTATTTCCTTTGAGGAAAAAAACGTTAATATGCCTTACAGCCACCGGTACCGTTCTCCTTCCGTTTTCCGTTTGTCACCCCGTTCCCAACTTCCCACGGAGGATCTCTGTTAGGAAGAACGTGACACGCATACAGATCAGGCACGTTCCGCAGAGGCTCCACTTTGTAGTGCAGATGGTAGAAGCCTTGGAGCATTCTCTGCATCGCCACGGACTACTTGGTGGCACCAGGCTCTTGTCGAGAGCGCCTGCATTCTGCGTGTAAAGGGAATGTAACGTATGCATACCATAGTAAGGTATAGTTAGGTAGAAACGTGTAATGTTAGTTGGGTGTATTTACAGCGTTTTGAATGCTAGTCATACAAGCACTAGAATATCTCATAAATTCTTCGAATATGTCAATTTTGAATAACCGAAGTTGGTTAACTTTGAGCTCCGTTCGATCAGAAAGACGGTGAAGATAGTGATGCGATTTATACCTTCAAACTGTTCACAAGCCGCGTACAGGAGTCTTCCTGTTGATGGCTAGAACTACGAAACTCTTTCTCACCGTTGAAGCGTTGCTACATTCATTCGGCTCTAAATGTCTCCACACAATGTCTCCAAATTTGTGTGAGTGCACCAGAGGCATACGCATTTCTTCATGCCTAATTAAGCCTCAGTTAGACTGGCGTGCGTATGGCTTTGGTGATGTATTATTCAGAATGGAGAGTGCTGTATGAATAAGGAATGCAGCTGGGGCTTCCATTTGATCTTAACGTAAGATGTCTATTTGGCTCTGGCTAGAATAATTCGGGCTGTTGTATACGATGGCTATCTTGGTCAGACTTTGATAATCGGAGACCTTCAAATCCGACGAGGGCCATTTTTTCTGTTATATGTAAATGAATGAATGCCTTCATCTCCCTTATCATTTTGCCTTTTCATGTCCAGGGACGTAGCCAGGGGGGACGGGGGCCATGCCCCCCTGAGAGCGAAAAATAAAAGAAAATGTTTATAAGAAATACAAAAAATAACTTAACAGCTGCATAACACCACCAAAAATAGTGGGCCAAATCCGAGGAGTTTTTTTTGAGGGGGTACGACACTATAGGCCGCGACCTGTGGCCCCTCCCTGAGCAAAGTCCTAGCTACCTGCCGGTTCATGACTGAGTTTTCGTTCATCCTATTAATTAAATTTGAAACAAAAATGTCATAATTATAACTGGATTACTTGCAAAAACGTAAACTCGCCTGTTTGTTCATTCTCCGAGAGCCAGTCGAACACTAAACACATGATGAAAACTATCTGCGTAATCACTGCACCAGATCCCACGTGTGGCGTTTGTATTCAATTTTCCGGGCGGCATTCGGTCACACTGTGGCGACGATCTGGCAATGGCCGCCAAATCACGCCAATCGGCAATCTGCCGGTGCTGGACGCGTCTCGGTCACGCCAGCGTGCAATCGTGAAGATTGATGGCCGCTGGCACAGGTCATCACATACAGACAGCGGCTCCACAGAACGGTTTATTGATGGTTGGCATGTCATCATCAACTCTGTGGAGTGTTGATAGCGGGGAGAAAATGACGCGTTGAAAATTCTGCAGTCTCTTACTGTCACCCTTCTCTGTTTATGATTATATTTTGTGTACATATTGTTTTATCATCTTTGTACACTTTTCAGTAAATATCATTTTTCGGGAATGAATTTAATCGTGGAACCGAAAACGACAAACTGAATGTCATGTCCAGGTGTCTTGGATCTTTCTTTTAGTTAATTCCATGCTCCGCGTTTGTAGGATCCTTGACTTGATGCGGCTGTATCCTTTGACTTTTGGGTGTCCGATATGCTGTGCGCCTCTTCGACAACTTTATCGTAATGCTTTGGTGGATTCAACAACACACCCTTCCTACAAACAGCTTGATAAGCAAACATGTTTCAATGAGAAAGTGAACTAAAATCATTACAAATTCAACTTTCATAATCATACCAGCATTCTGTTATTATAAATATTCGAAATAACTAGTTTCCCGAGTAGATATTCACCCAGACAAACCTCAGGGATCACCGATCACGTTAAGTCGGTGTTACCGTCACATTCGGCAATGCAGTCACTGCCTGGCAGGCAGACTGCTCTGCTGTACACCGCGGTGATGCGGCTCAGTCTATGGTGCTTATTTCAGCAGCGGGCAAGCAATGTTCATTTTCAGTTTGAGAACGCAGCTTGTTCTGGTCTGAGACTGAGAACGCAGTATAGCTGATAGCTCACACAGTATAAAGCCTCGCTTTCAGTCAGTTTGATACGAGCGTGAACATATGTCAGCGGTCCTGCATGAGAGCGAGCCACATTAATTTGATAAATGAATTTAATTAACACTGCTCGAGTGCGGTTAAATGAAATGTCCAATAGCCAGCACAGTTCATAAGTCAAATGTCCAAAGCTGTTGCCCAGTCAAGTGTGAATTCTAACAGCTTTGTGTCGCTCCTAGAACTGTCCTATTGTTTTCCACTGGTGCTACTTTAGCGTCAATGCTGCAGCGATGTTCTTTTCTTCTGTACTTACTGTTGTCAGACTCTCTACTCGGTAACACATTTGGATTTGGAGTTTTTGTGCTCACGCCCCATTGCTACATGCTTTCCAGCAACGCAAGACAGAAGAAGCTAAATAAAACGTACCTTTAGGAAGTAAAACTTGTCTGAAGTTGTATTGCTTTGAGTCGAGTTAACACCACGTTGACAAATGCGTTTTCCGTTTCATGGTCCTCATTGTTGTGATCTCTGCGAGAAACCTGTAGTCCCGCAATATCCAAATGAATGAAAGCTTAGTGGAACCTATCCTGGCCTTATTAGAAATGTCACTTACATATTAACTTACGAATCATTGCTTTTAAATACTTATAAGTCTCCAGAAATTATTTTTAAAAGCATTGTTGGCCCAGTCATGTCACCGTTATAAACTCATTTTTGTCCTTTCGACTTAAGTCACATCCTGTCTGCTCCATTTCAGCCGTAGCCGTGAACGAGACATGCAGCATCACGGCCCAGTGTCGGCCAGAGACGAACCACGCCGAGTGTGTGCACGGTGTGTGCCAGTGTCAGCCCAAGTACGAGAAGCACACCTACTCGGACGGAAACGCCTTCTGCCTGATGCGCAGCGAACACGGTGAGAAAGGGAATTCGGTGAGATAGTCAGACTGGTGAGAAATTGGCACAGTGAGACAGCGGACACAGTGAGATAGAGGGTGAGACACTGAACTAGGTGACACAGTGAACTGGGTGACTAGCTGGATGAGGCACAGTGGGACACTGCACTCGGTGAGACAGTGAACTTCAAGAGCTCGGCTGCGTCTTGCTTACTTGTTTGACTGTGTCCTTGTACAGACTACGAATGTGTGCTTTCATTTCTTTTCTTTTTTAATGAAACCCTCGACTCGACCGGGTCTCAATCTTGGCCTCTATTCTTCTTTACTTGCTTTTTACTGAGTGCTTCTGCGCCCTTTACTGCGTCGTTGCTCTGCACTTTGTGGCAGGCTGACGCTGCGTATATCGGGCACGAGATGGCACGTTTCTTCTCCGTAGAATGGGGGGGGGAGGGACTGGCCGCTGTGTTAGTCGGAACAGGATGGAAGACAGGCAGGATGGCGTGCCCGCTGAGTGGCACGCGGGATAATGAGGGCTGGATCATCCCTACGTCCCGTCCGTTCCCCGAATGATCAGTTTGCGGAAAGGTTAGAGCGAATAGGTGGAATAGGTAAGAGATATTGACTACGCCATTGGCGAGCTTTGCTTTGTTTTATTTTGATACTTCTATTTTATGTTCTTAGCTCAAGCAAAGTTCACTTACAGCTTCAAAATCACCTTGGTTTTAGATTTGATAAAACAAAAGACTCGTTCATGGCTGGAGGAAGGATATTCATTGCATCATTAGCAATATCTTCCTAACCCGCATAATGTCCCCGTTTGGTGTTTGTCTGACCTTGGTGAGCCGGGGGGCCGGGTGGGTCAGTCACGCTGGTGGGGGAGGGGGGTTCGTGGGAGGGGGGGGGGGGCTGTCGTGGTGATCATGTCTCGGGCGCCATCGATCTAGGGGGAGGGGTGAGGGGGTGCGACATGCCGCAGTGCCGACACACCCCGGCGCCATGCTGGCGGGGAGGGGAAGGGAGGGAGGGGGAATTAGGGGTAATGGTGAGCGGAGGTGGTATGGGAGAGGGCTGAATACAAACGTGAAGTGTTTGGTGGCGGTGCAGAAAGGAAAACTAGGGATAGCGGGAAGGGGTTGGGGGAGAAGAAAACGGGGAAGTGTTCTGATGAAAATAGAAAACAAATAGATAAGCAGGAGAGGATTGGTAGATGACCATTTCTAAGGAAACTAAGAAAAATGAAAGATAGAAGAAAAGAAAGGAAAAACAGCACATAAAATGAAATAAAATAGAACGGCAAATAAACAATGAAATGCAAGTGATGCCGAGCAACACACAGAAGCAGCGATCAAAATAAGAATGGGTTATAGTCACACGAAACGAAGCATACCTCATATGCTTTGTACATTTTTGTACATAGGACTATTTACAAATCTTGTGCAAGACATGCATATTGAGTGTGCTGATTTTCTCACAATTTCGGACGTCTTTTACCAGTTGCCGTGAAATATCGAACACAAGCAATGTTACAGACCTGGTAGTGTAACAGACGTACCAAACTTATCAGCGAGATAACACCGTTTGCATGACGGCATTTCGAGACGAGGACAAAACCCTGCACAGTATTGTGGTGCCGCAGACAAGTCTGCATTTCCTGTCACAGGCTACAGCCATGAATTAATCCATAAAGCCTGGTGTCTCTGACAGGGGTATATCCCATGACAAGGGTTACGACCCTGGACTGATCCAACGCACTAATGCTGTTAGCATGGTGGCATTCCCTGGATTTATTCCACACCGTGTAACTGCTACGAGAGGCTATTCTGTCCAACCCAAGACGCCCTTTGAGCTATGAGCTACGAAATGTCTAGCTATGCAATGCTATGAGCTATGTGCTATGAGCTATGGGATATGAATGCCCTAACAGATATGAGAGACTATTCAGTCCAACTCTAGAAGCCTTTGTGTTGCTGACAAGGCAGTGTCCAAGCAAAGGAGCTCAAAGCTGTGGAACTGATCACGCATTTCTGGTTTGTTGTGCCGTTCACCACCACCACCATGGATGTAGAGGAATGTAACGATCTTACAAACGTCTGTGTAAGATCTCTGTAGGTAAAGGCAGCTGGGGCTGTTATGCGCAAAATGCTAGCCGCCTGCCCTTCAAGGAATGTTGGCGGTAAAAACATTTGTAACACATGAGCTTGTTAATCAATGAAACGCGACTGAAACGTGGCAGAACGCTAACAGTGATTATCATAGTTAATGAAATAAGTGCAATTTTACGTAAAATGAAGGGCTTACGGGAATGCTTTTAATAATAACTATACGGCAGTTGTGGTTGCACTTCATTTCATAAATACGAACTTTTATCTTCCATAATGTTTTGTTTCGGCTAACCTTTACAAGATCTCGTTAGTCTAACCAGTTAAAATAGCCAAGAGATCGGACAAAAATGTCAAGAGGTACTTAAGAGTTGGCACCAACGCGATTTACTGCTTGTCTGTCTGAAAGAGCAATTTATGTTAATTGGTCCCAGCTGAGTTCAGAAGGTTGAGCCACGGCTCACGGGTAATCCTTTTTAAGGAAAATTGAGCAGTGTTTCGCTGCGCTGATGTGATTTTTTTTTTGTAGCTGAAAAAGGCTAAGTGGAGATGACTTGGAGGCGGCATTGTTTTGCATGATAATTCCAAATCAAGCATCAGATGATTACGAGTTTGGGTTATCAGTTAACCATCCCTTTTTTGAGTCAATGGTAAACTTTGCTATTGGTGTCAGTGTGTAATGATGTTTTAAGAAGTTCTGCACCAATATACATTGAGCTAGCAAATTACAGTTTCTTATATTTTACTGGCTTTCCAGCTAAGAGTAAGCTACCATAAATGTGCGAGAAACGAAAAAAAATATAAACCACCTGAATCATAAGCAAAAAACATTGTTTTTTTTAAAGTGCGACTTCTCCTTACATTGAAAATCGTTTGCTGACAAGCAAACCTACAAGATGGTCCATTCGAACATTTAAAGGCGCCCATGTATACGGCATGCATTTTTGTCAAGACTTTCACATGCAGTATCAGTTTTGGTTGCGCCTATGATGCAAGGTATAACGTCTGAGCCGATTACAAAAGATAGATATGGATCAATGATCTGATAAGAATCTTTCATGAAGGAGGGAACAACATGGTTTCTCAGCCGTTTCGGTTTCACTGACCGTCTCGGCAGATCACGCGGCTGATCTTGACCCCTGTATTGACCGGCGAGGCCGCAGTGGCGGCAGCTGGCGGTCGGGTCGGTCTGTCAGGGACCCGAGGGAGGGGTACAGGGAGGGTCCCGGCACCTCAGTGGCTCAGACTGTCAGCCACTGAACTGCAGTGCTCCCCAAATGGCTCCGTTTCTCAGAACTTGTTCAAAGCAAACACAGAGAGTGGCTGTCGGACGGCACCGCTTAATACTGAAATGGATTAAATTGGAGTACAGTTGCATTATTTTGTGTAGTGGGATCTCGATCCAAATATAAAGCGTAGAGTGGGACGTGGCAACAGTTGACATTCTTTCCAAGCAGGAAAAGTAAAACGCACTACTGTTCATTCACTACTGAACTGAGCGCATGTCGTAAATGTTTCCTCCGGCCTTGCCTTTCGTGTTTCTATCATCTTTGCGCTATGAGCAGCCCCCAAAACACAGTCACTGAACAGATCAGGGAAATATCTGATTTCTGACTTATATAATAACTACTGGCATCAGTGACAGTGTGTCCAGATTTATCGGTCTATTTGTAGCTGTTATAGTTGATCGAGTATGGGACTATCGTCAGCCACGTTCTGCACAAATCGTCGTCTACTGTTTCTCTGTCCAAAACTTGCTCAATAGTTGTCGGAAACTTTCAATTAGGATCACAATAAGTCAGGTTAGAGACATGAACGACAATCCATTTAGCTAGTCAGCTGAGAAACCGGATGAAATAGAAATATTTGATATCATGGGTCAGTTGACTTGTTAACAGGCGATATAGTCAGTGTCATTCAAGGCGATACAGGAAAAACTCACCGGTGGCAGACGCCTGACAGGAGTTTCCTGTACATACTGGCATAAATTTTAGGGGAAAGCGACGATAGAAATATTAAATATCCGAAAAAAAACACTTGAAAACGATGCGATTAGATAAACGAAGTCATAACAAACAAACAGAGGAGTAGGTGGAGAAAGAGGATGGAAGAGAAGGAGAGAGAGAGAGAGAGAGAGAGAGAGAGAGAGAGAGAGAGAGAGAGAGAGAGAGAGAGAGAGAGAGAGAGAGAGAGTCACTGAGTCAATTGAAAGGACGCTGAAGTGACCACCCATAAAACGAAAAGCACGCCTGGGAGAAGATTCAAAATTTATTGCTGCCAATGGACAAAAGTTCGACTTGGTCTGATTTATCCGTGTGGCCAACTCCATTCACAATGACTCAAGCTGTCGACTTAGAATAAATTTGCCGGCTTATGTCTGGGATGAAATTGCACACTGCAGAGACGACACCCGATTATCACCAGCTTCCCACTGTGGCGACGTGGCTTCTGAGGTAGTCTTTTGATGCAATAGATTCAAATGACTTGGCTTGCAGAAGCCCTCCTGCTGTCAATCTGAACTCGTCTCGTCTTTGAGCTGTGGTGAATAGCAATCCCAGCAACGAGGAAGTTATTTCGTTTATAGCTGGAGCTAGCAGCGCATCCTTTTCATCGCGGCCCAGCTTATTGAAATGTCAAAGTTGGTCATCTAAGTCTCTCGTAGCGTCTGCATTTCCTCGTTTTCTTATCGGCATACCGTTTGACAACGGAACAGACCTGTCATATAGAGTAATAGAGCGTAGGAGAAGCCACTTTCTCGATGTTTTACGCTCGACACCCTTCAGCTGTTGTCGCGAGATAGCCTTTTATTACTGTATCCTGCATTTTTCCTGATATTCGTTCATGTCAAAGAGGGAGAATTCAAGTAAAAACATTACCGGAAACAATTTTGCACTATGTCGTCACCTCTATCGCAGAGTTTGGAACAACTTATAGGCTAAGTGCTCATGTTTTCTGTAGGCTGGCTCAGGCGACGGTGATTGCATGCAGGAGGACAGCATTTTCCCTATGATCGTCGTCTCACAGTATATGTGCGGTTTGGAGATGATATTCCTGAAATGAGCTTCGCAGCCGGCATTTAATGTTATGAAAAAAGTTGTTTTCATCCGGCGTGAGCTTTTTATTTTTGTGGAGTTGACGACTGTAGTTTTTCATTATGAAATACCGTCAAACTATTGTTAACCAACGGCTACGATATAGCAAGCACATTAATAATCACAAGAATCAACATGCTATGTATATAAACGCCAAATGGCCAGATTACACTTTCTGTTCTCCAGCGATAGGTACTGAAAGTGTCTGTGCACTTACTGCGACGTGTCGAGTTCTCCGGCGCTGATATTTCCTCCAAATGTCGCGTGACAGAAAGCTTGGCCACAGAACGCTCACGAAAATAACATGCAAGGCATAGGTCTGCAGTGAAAGAAGTTAATGCATAGACTCAGTTAGAAAAGCATGATTTATTGCGCTGATGTTCCAATAATTCAAGCTCAAATAATAGCATAGTGACTGTTCTCAGTTTAGTTATCATGCGTTAGAGCGACACTTTCCGTTATTCTCTGTTGTCCGTTTCCCTGCTGACCGACACCGTCTCTGTTGTCCGTTTCCTTGCTGACCACAGCGTCTCTGTTGTCCGTTTCCTTGCCGACCGACACCGTCTCTGTTGTCCATTTCCTTGCTGACCGAAACCGCTTCTGTTCTCTGTTTCAGTGGCCGATGCCAAGAAAACGCCCGTGGACCCGGTCATGATCGGCATTCTGGCCTCGATGGTTCTCATGTTCGTCATTATCTGTGTCGTGCTGCGGCTCTTCAGCAAGTAAGTGTACGGCTAAGTCGGCATGCTGTACAATGATACGGACTGATAGCCGGGCTGCATTCCGGCCTACGCTTCGTGCTGCTCCTGATGGATCGAGCCGACACGGTGCTTAGTTGATGCATGTAGGTTAATTAGTCACTTGCAGGAAATTAATGTTGGTGAGTATAAGGGTTTTCATTTCAAAATTGTTTGGCGAATTGACCCGAAGTTTGCAGCTTTATTGTCCATCTCTTTGTTAACAGTGCCTACCTGGGTGAGCTATTGACCGACTTAACTTCAGTATTTCACACCTGAAAATAGAGCTTAGGGTACAATAAAAACGGCAGTAAATGTCTTCAGCGACTTTGATGATCCGTGATAAACGACTGCTGACTGAACTTGTTATGCTTTGTCTAATCATACTTGATTGTTAAACATTTTAAGCGCATGATACAAAAGGGACTTCTATGGTTCAGCGGTACGAAACGCTTTTAATTTTCATCAGGTTAATTATGTAGCCGAGTAATATCACAGCCCTTCTGCTAAAATGCAATAGTCGTATCGCCTCCCGTTGACTGGGCTCGGGCCTCGGGGTCTCGTGAGTCGCCACCCAGCTGTGTCCCCGTCTCCGACACACCGTCGTGTTTCTCTAACCGTCCGGAACACGTGACACACCGTCCATCAGACGCCGGTGCGCCGCGATTGGTCACCGCCGCGCCACGATTGCCACCAACTCCCAGCTGCTGCCACCGCCTGTGTTAGCAGTCGAACACGGCTTCCCTTTGATTACTGGTACGGCTCCGAATAATGGCCGCCTGCAGCCGAGAGCCACGCTGAAAGGATTATCGTGCGATAATCACAGAGCTATGAATCCCACTAACTGAGGCTGGGACGCGAGGAAATCGAACTGAGGTTTCACTATGACCAAAGGGTCCTTTTAGTGTGATGAGCTTGATTTAAGTGTTCGTTAGTGGGATGCCGTTTATCATACGCTAGCTCTGTTATTCTAACCAGCCAGCCTGTGATTTTAACTACTCAAGAGTCTATGAAAACTGATTTATCAGCGCAGAAGTCTGACGAACGGCTGCCTGTGACATTTCGCCGTTCACTTGCAAGCTATAGGTATATCGTCCACAAATCTGCAGATTATTCAATAGCAAAGCGGCATGTCCGTTTTGCAAAGTACTTGTCCGTTCCGCCCTTGTGCTCAGCCCGCATTAAATCACTGTTTTACGACCCCAGTATTTATGCCCTGACGTGACCTGTGTATGAGCACCCCATGCCCTGATGTGCTGTCATTTATCAACCTATAAAGATGACCACCACTCACCGCTCTAGCCACTTCTACCCCTGCTCTAACCAACCACTCGTGAGCGGACAACTGCACCGGTCTCTCCATCTGACCACAGTTCCCCCTTCACTGCCTCCATCATTCCGTACGGGACTAACGCCCCCCTGAACTGACCACTCCACCCCTTTCTTCACAGGGCGCAGTTCCGTCAGAACCGCACCATTCTCAACTCGGCCAACCCGCGGCTCATGAACGCCTCCTTCCTCAAGGGCTCGCTGATCAAGTCGCCCGTGGAGCAGCTGCGCGGCTCTCACAGCTCGCGCGGCAGCCGGGCACCCAGCCTCAGCTCCCTGCAGCGGCCCGACAACGGTACGGGCACGGCCCAGCCGCCAGCGACGCCGCCCGACGCCGTACGTCCCCGCCCGCGCAGCGCGAGCTCGGCACGGCCTCAGACACGGCTGCCGTCTTGTGACAGCCGCTGACACACCACGGATGGGGCGGCCAGGGTCACTGGTGTGGGGCTAATGTGCTGCATATTGCATACGAGTGTTGTACACTGCCAGGGGCAGTGGAGCGAGCGACCCAAACTTTGACGTGGTGCGGTCAAAGCACGAGGGAATAGGGCACACGAGAGCATGACATCGGGCAACAGCTCGCACTGACATCGTGCCTAATGCTGCACACAAACTGCGGTCTTACGTGGCCAGCTTGCTTCGTAACAAACCTCAATCATATTCATGCATATATCTAAACGCATGAAAAATGGTGAGAAAAACAAGAGCTCGCCGCCTCAAAGGGCAATACATCGCATGCACAAACACACTGATTCAAAAAGCTCTGCGCTTGCTCACAATGCATGCATTTACGAACAAGTAAAGCACACTCGGCACAGCGGTGTCCATGAGTTGGGCTACTACCGATGAACGGTAATTGATGCTATATTCTCGTCCCTGCACGTCTGCAAGTTGAGTCGAGACGGGTAACTGGTAAATACCCGACGCGAGCCCTCCGTGGGAGCCACGCAGGTGACACGCTCGTTTTACAGCGGTTATTGCCGGCTTTGAAGTTCTAAACGGCACATGAATGACAGCGTCTGCAGCAGGCCAGTGACATAGCAATAATAACTAGGGAGTGACTGTGAAACGCACATAAGGTGCTATCGGAGGTAGTAAATGTAGATTCGAGTAGCGTAGGTGCATCCACTTGAGCGGTTATTTGTTGAAAACCGTTAGTAATGCATCCGTGTTTTGTTAAATTGATGCATTTGTTGAAAGGTGCCAACTTGGAATTAGACAAAAGATGAAAAAGCGCGTTCATTCTGATGAAAAAGACGATGAAAAGGCGCAAAGTATGGTCGAAGCCTGAAGTCCCCAAAATATGTTTCAATTCGTCTGGACGTATAAGCAGCTCGGTAGGTGCCACTTTATCACGCGCAGCCGAAAAAGTCGAGCTGAACGCGTTAGGAGACGACGAAATCTCAGCTGTAAGAGCCGCACATGCGTGCCCGAGTGTCAGACACTGACCGGGTTATGACGCACTCGGCACCGCACAGCGAAATAAAAGAGGTATTTTTGGAAACATGTATGACGTCTGATTTACTGGAAGATCGTCAATCAACCTCTTCTTGTGTGAAGAGATAGGCTCACTGAAGGTGTAAATATGACAAAACCTACAGAGTACAGACCAGTCTAGGACCTACGCTTTGTATATCTCATACACAGACGCATGCTGCCCCCCCCCCATTCCTACCGACCCGCAAAAAGGAAATGTATTACTGTTAAGTATACAATTCAAATGCCTTGCTGAACAGTTAGACGGATAAATATGTTCTCCCTCATTGTCTACTTCCGGTTCCAACCAAACGCCATTTCTCCAGTTTCACGCCACAGAACCGCACAAGTTGTGCGGCGGAGTAGTTCGAACTAGGGCTCTCTTACTTTCGCGAGCATGATGCTTTATTAGCCAAGGATGAACAAACCACCGAGAAAGCAGACATTTTATCTTAATTAGCTGTTAGATATTTGACTGCAGAAATATTATCTACATTTTATTTCAAGTTGCAATATTTTAGCACGCATGCGTATCAAGTAAAATACCTTTCATAATAAAATAACGCTCATGATCCGAATCAGCTCTTGGTATGCATCATGGCTTATCAGCAAAGCTGAAGCGCTGAAGTCCTAAAAATGTGGTAACAGACAGCCCACCTAGTCCCTAAAAATCCCAATCTTGCATAGCGCAGTTTGTGAGAACAGTCGATGATATCATTATAGTGCAACTAAGCCAACCGATCAACGTACTTTATCCCCACTTTAGCAGCAGGGACACTACTCGGGTTATTGCACATGATGGATTGAACTAGCGCGAACGGGCGTCGACCATTGTACTTTGCAGCGTGCAATAAGAAATTTACGGTGCACGAAAGAAACGAAAATAGCCGTCTTTATGGCATTCAACCGAATTTAGCACCAAGGAATCCTATCCTAAGTAACGTGCACATTCAACATCTAAGCCAATGCCGATTTTAAGTCGGGATCACTCTGCACTCCTCGAGAAGCGAGCCTCATGCCACGTGGCAAGACAGAACTGACTGAACAACTGTTGGCCTATTTTGGGGTCATCCGTCCCTTACACAATCTCAACTCGGTTGTGACGAGTCTATACAATCCTCAGCTCAGTAATCCGCTGCAATCTTTTTACGAGTCACGCAAGCCTGCAAAGGAGTTGATGACGCAGTAACGACTACTGCCGGACCGCAGTCAGCTAATGAACCTCCTCGAGCATTGCTAACATTCAACAACACATAGCACCGAATGCCGGTGATACTCAGGTTCTGGCAACTGGCGACCACCCCGTGAGAAGAGCCGGTCCATCACGACTCACGGAAAACACCAGCAGGTGTCGTGACCCGTTCCTGTGCCACAACTTCTACTTTCGACACCCTGGGATGCACCTCATTACTTCCAAGCGACGCTCTCCGCGAAATGAGCTGCCGCCTTTCACTCTCTCCCTGAAGCCCCACGTTCTCATCTGTCAACACCGAGGCCCCTCCGTCTCAGGCGCTCACTCATCCAGTTTGGTGGCTTGTGAGAGTTTGACCATTGACGCCCACTGAACATCGCCCTGCTGTCGCGTCTTGCCGCCCACTGCATGTGCTCAAAGACGACATTTACATGGCATGAAACTTCACCGATGGTTGAAGTCAATTGCTCATTACTAATGTCATTTCCACAACTTGTAGCAAAAATAATCATACGATAAATAAAGGCAAAGGAAGCCGTATGTATGAACGAGCTGAAGCGACTTGTCATAATACATCCGCTCAATGTCTTGACTTTCGTTCTCCGTGTCCACAGAAAAGCGAGGAGCAGAAAACTCCGGCACCACAGACGTGAACCTGGTTCAAGTGGAGCTGAACCAGCCGTAGCGGCCGGTTCGGCGCGGTTCGCGGCGTTCACCCGTTGGCACATTGTCGCCCCCGACACCTGCTGTGACCGGCCCGCGGCTCGGACAGTACCATGAGTGGTGTTTCCATCGATTTCCGTTCTCACCCTTTACGTGTGTCCATGTGTGTGGCGGCCCGAGGGGCGTGCGTGCGACGTCGTTCGCAGCCTGACGTCACGGAGCGTGTATGACGTCAGACGCGTGAAACGGCCTGCTAGGAGGCGCGTCGGTGGCTTTTGTCCGTTTTCCTACTACCTGATCGCGATGAGACTGGGAGCGAGTGCAGGGCCGAGTGACGGTTTTCCCTTGGGTTTCGCTTTTGCGCGGCGCGGCCCGCCTCATCCGTAGGATAGCCGGGGTCTCCGCTGACGTGTGGGGGCGGGGCGCGTGCCTGGTCCTCGCGCGGCGGCCCGGCGGCGCGGCGCGGGGTCACGGCGGGTCAGGCGGGGTCGCCGGGGGCGGTCAGCGGACGGAGGTGGGTGTGGGGTGTCTGGTCGGTAGGTCGGTCCGTGGACCCGCTGGCCGGACTGGCGGCCGGTGCAGGGGCGCGGCCGGCGCGCGACCCGCTGGGTCGGGCGCCGGCCGCCCGCCCCGACTATGACCCTGACCTTCGGGGAAGAGGTCAAGGTCATATTCAGCGCCGGCGCCGGCAGAACAGTGGCGTGCTGTGTCTAGCTGTAGGCGCGAACGTCGATGGAGCTTTCTCTCCCTTTCTCTCTCACTCAGCCCTAGTTTAAGGAGTGGCTCTCAGCAGGTGACGGCGAACGGTGAGCTGGTCTGTCGAAAGGAGACGGATTGGCGGCCCGCGACCTGACCTGAGCCGTGACCCCGCCCGTGCGCCGACCGCGTCCGTCGACATGTCAGCATTCCAGCACGTTCTTTGCTCAACACGACAGCTCCAATACCGGGCATCCCTCGGAAATCAGCACAACGACGCGCGCCATCGTATATATCCGGCCCTAGCCTTCGATATCGACCTTAGGCCGGCAGCGAGCGTCCAACGGCGCAGCCGGCAATCGCCGCATGTTATGCATTTCTGAACACAGCCGAGTATGAAACATTCCAGAGTTTGAGACACTTCCGTAAAAGTTTCGGCGAAAAATGTATCACAATTCACACCATGATATCACCACACATGCTGATTGTACTGCAACTTATGGACGCTCGCTGCGCGTATGCTTTTATGAATAAATCTTAAACTTTCCAGCTCGCGTTTGTCCTTCCGACTAAGCTGAAATCTGTACTGGCACGGTTGTCGACAATCTGTATTCAGTTCACAGGATCGGAGGGCACGTCCAGTAAATACGGAGCGCTGTGACCGCCGCCGCGTCAGCCGCGCTGCGCCGGAGCACGTCTGTTTGGCCGACCATCCCTCACCGGGGCCGTCTGACGAACAAAAACAGCCCGCTAACGCGCGACCAGCCGGGCTGCGGTGGTGGTGGCAAGCCGGCCCGAGGGGGTACTCCCAGCGCCAGCCGGCGGCGCACTCATCTGCGCGTAATGCGACCACGCGCCCGCCTCATTGTACGACGGCGTGCCCCCCGGCGACAATGGAAGCCGCCGAGGGCACGGCACTCTCGCCGATGGTGGTACAATATGCAGAGTGGATGGGGTCGGCATGGAGCAGCGAGGCGATATGAGATCCCTGGCCGGTACTGGGCCCGGGGGAAAGTGTAACGCTGAGTAAGCGTTAGGTCGAGCAACAGTTACATCCACAGCACTTCCTTCATACGGGCTTGTAGATGACAAATTCACAGCGAAAATCAGCTATCGCACAATATCACTCAGTCTATGAACGTCGTCACTGTCACTGAACATGCCATTCCGCACTGTCCGCACTGACACTGCACATTTGTCACTCGGACCCCACCCCATCACACGAGCCTCCGACTCCCGGACGGTACCAGTCTTTCCGCGGCGGGAGCGGTTCACTTCCAAGTGCCTTTGGACCGCCAGTCGAGGAATTCGTCAACCTCAGCCTCGTCGGCGCTGGAGTCGCTGGAGTCACCCTGCGCGGACGTCGAGGGCTCCTGATGCGCCAACTCCTCCTTCCGTTTCTCCATGCTGACCACCCTGCGGAACAGAGGGAAGAGTGGTTAGCAAGCGGTTTGGCGATTGAAGATAGGGACATCGTGACCAGAGGACGTGGTGAGTGCCCACGGCGAGTCTCCTGTTGGAAGGATGGAGAAAAAATATCGGTCAGTGAGCAGTTAATGGGAGACTCACTCTGCCAAAGGGACATCACGAGTGGTCAGTGACGGGCTCACACTACCATACAAGGCCAAACGAAAGTTAATAACATGGGAACTAAAAAAGCACGGAAATAACAGTCGAAAGTTGCTATCACACCGCCGCAGATGCAGGAAAAGCGCTGCAGCCGCCAACGAAAGAAGGAAAATCTGCAAGCCAATGACGTGAGAGGCTAGCGATTCAAAACATTGAACAGGGGCACAACGGTAAATGTAACTATGTAGGTCAGCAGAAAAACGAACACTGAAGGTGAGCGAGACACGTCAACCAGTCAACCAATCAGCTAGTCGCCCTGCAAATGTAGCGACACAATAATGCGGAACTGTATGAAGTACCTTGCCAATCAATCAATCAATCAATCAATCAATCAATCAGAACCACAATTCGAATGAAGCCAGGCCATCGCTCAATCGACATTTCCGTTTGATGTTAATTATTAGCGTCGTATCATTGCCACACATCCCAGGTTACAGTCCCGACCACAGCCCTATATCATCACCGCCTTTGCACCGCCGACAAAGTCACATCTCCATTCTCGATGACGTCACAAGTTCCAAATCAGCCGGTGGCGATGGGGGGATTTGGGTCGCCATGTATCATCATCAGGGGCCATAAATGTCTGACCAACGCCCACCAATCGCACTGCGACACGGTGAGAAATGAACCGGTGCCCGGCCAATAAAACCCCACTCTGTTCTCGCTTCGAGCCGACCCCCGTCGAGACGAAGTCGATTGTCTGATTGTTGGAACGGCTCGGGTTACTTGCGAAATGTCGCACACAAGAAACAAACGATGTAGTGGGTGCCCCTGGCTTTATTGGCATTAACGTTATCCGTTACAGACAGAGCAAGAATTGCAAGAATTGATTTCCAGAGCTCGTGGATACATTGCAATTGCAGGTAAAACAAAATATGAAAACACTGTAATATCCATACCAAATGTCTGACTGGAGTCCATGAAACTCTGAGTAGTTTGGTGCCGATCTACTACCATATTCATACGCTTCTAGCAGCGCTTCATTTCCCTCAGCAAACGGATTCCATCCAAAGATGAGCAGATACGAACTTCGTCCATTTTGCGACCGAAGAAACCTTGAAAAAGTCACAACTCAGGAGCTGTGAAAACGTTTCGGTGGAAACAGGAAACGTCTTCCAATCTGCATAATACGGGCTTGGCAGAATTGCGTTACTTCCCAATGGGGATATCTCAATGTAGCCCGGCCGACAGGTGGCAGCACGAGCGATCCAGACACGCCGGTCTCGGTAGTGGGCTATGGCGGCCGACGCATTGGATGCGTTTTACGTTATTTACAGGCGGACGGAGCTAAGATCATAGCGATTTGGATAAGTTTTGGGGTATTTTCCTTGCTTTCAGGCTTTGAGACGCTTATTTTGTGCCTCTCCGGCCGAGAGGGGCGGGTGCGGCTCCCTCCCCATAGGTTTTCCTGCGATAGATCGAAACACACCGGCGATAGAGAACTGAAACTTGACATCCCTGACCTTTCATTCAAGGCGGATCTTGTGACAACGACCGCATTTCGAGGCTAGGTCAGTTGACTGAACTATGACGTCATAAGTGAATCTCTGCATGGTCCTCAGATGTCGCAACTTCGCACCGCCTCAGTTCCAGAGGAATTTTCACAGGGAGAATAATGAAACCTATAGGACGTACTATTTTCCGGATGTCTCACATTTGCACATGCCAAATGTTTTCTAGAGGTTGCATGAGGTCAGGTCGGGCACATGACCTCACGTGACCCCATTAGCTTACTTCATAGGTAAGCTAATGGGAAAATATGGATAGGGTGAATAGGTCAAAAACGCCCCCATTAAGCGCGAAACCTTCTGACACTCAACCCAACACAGATTACTTAAACCTTTGGGCACCATCATGTAGCTCATTCTTTTTACTACGCTTTGAGACCAAGAAAAGACACCTGCGTGTGGTATTCAGCCCCCCAAAAAGGTTTTCGCATACCCTTACAAAAGGGCGTTTTGCCCCACACCCTGGGTAATACGCCCACACCCATGTGCAAAGCGCCCCCCACCATATCTATCAACAGAACATAATTAACATGGCAGAACTTGACGTCATTCTGACGTCATTTGTGGTCAATCAATCATAGCCTTTGGAATAAAATTTTGTTGCAATGTGTAAAATGGATGCCCGGAGGAGTCCTGAAAGTTTGGTGACGATATCTGCAGTCGTTTAGGATATATCAGCAAAAAAGGACAGGGAGAGGCCTTTTCGGCACCCACCTACAGGGCGCTACCCTGCACTCTTACCACCGTGCAAAACGCCCCCCTTTCAGAAAACTGGGGGCGTCTTGCCCCATGCATCGAGTAGGCGTCTTTCCCCATCCACTCCATTTCCGGTCAACAAAATATTGACAAAAAACGCGCCATTAACGCCGCAGCATAATAAATTCAACAGAATGACAATAAAACGCAGTTTTTAGTGATGTGCACAATAGCAAGGTTTGTGATATAAAGAGGGCATCAAAATATTAGGGATCTTCTGTAAAAACAACAAAAACAACACCCAAAACCAACATCAGCACCTACCCACGCTACTCCTCAAGACGCAGAACCGGAAATAGAGACCTACGTAAACAAGCAGCTGACTGTTCTGAAAGACAGGATAAAACACCTATCCGTCGATAAGAAACACGATTTTTTTAGGGGAGGCGTTTAACCCAGGGGTGCGTTTTCCCCACAGTTACCCTACTGTTGTTAGTCTGGTACCGGGAATAATCTAAAACTATTTCAATCACATGGCATTGTGATTTCATGCACTCTTTGCAAGGTCATATACTTCACTTTTGCATTGTCGACCTTTCGTTACGTAATTTTTAACGTCACTTTGGTCACAAGAGTTGTTCGTCAATAACTCACGATCCCATTGATCTAGAGAGTCGGTAGAGCGTAACACGTCGCTGGCAAAAGCAAAATTGTGCCTTTCATTGTGTCAAAAATTATTAAAAAAGAAACTTTTCCGTGAAAATGGCTAGAAGTTTATGTGTTGGCCTCAGAAGCAGGCATTAGTCATTATGCGGTTATCATTGATCCTCAGCTCCGTCATATTTGGTGTTCTCCAAGGCTGAGATGGGGTGGCGTATGGAGAAACCTGGCGCGATGCACGGTGTTCAATACTTAGAAGCAGGGATGCGGAGCCGTGGAAATTTCAGACGGCTTCAGCTCCGACTCCGGAGAAAAAATCGGCCCCGGCTCCGAGTAAAATGGCCCGGCTCCGCCGACTCCGGCTCCGGCTCCTACTCAGTACATCCCCTATGCGATTAATTAAATACGGGTGGAAGAAAAAAGGCGGTTGGATTGGTGCACGTTGCTTCTGTATTTGCATGACAAGGCTATTTTGAATACCACACATTTTACTGCCTTGTACTGTCAAACCGAACTAGGTCAATTTTTTTCCTCTTAAAAAAGAGCCGGAGTCGCCCCCTTTTTTGACGGCTCCGGCTCCGGCTCCGGGGTAGGCTGTTTCACGGCTCCGGCTCCGGCTCCGGCTCCGGGCAAAATATGCCGGCTCCGGCGGCTCCGGCTCCAGCTCCGGCTCCGCACCCCTGCTTGGTATTGTCAGGGTTGCATTCTGCCCATGCGCACGTCCACTGTGCATGGTCCACAGACCACAGTCCAGTTTCAGGGCCAACTTTTGCCATGACTCGTCCCTCGAATTCGCCCATGATGATTTGCTTAGACAAAATGTTTATGTTGTCTACGTAATACGTTTATGTTTATTGTATAAAAAAACACCAACATGTCGAATGATTTTGCCAGGTTGAAATCATTCGACGGATCATTTAAGTTCATCGACGGCACGGGTACCTACTCGGTCATTTTGTCCCTCCTTTTTTCAGTGCAGTAAGTACTAAGTTGAATACTCCGTTTAAACGTTCTAACTCTACCTCATGAGCTAGAGGAACTTCAAAGGGCATACAAATAAGTGATGGCTCTTTTAAAGCTTTTAAGCAAGTTGTCGAAATTTTCCTCAGGCCAACATTTCAGTAGCTCACAGTGCAGGCCAGTATCAATGGGAGAAGCACATCAGCCCACGCTTTCTTTGTGAGCTCGGACCATTTCTTCAGTCCATCGGCATCATATACCATATATTGTAGTCTTAATCCACAATGACGACCGTTTTTTAAAGGAAACCAGTAAATAATTGTAAAAACTTTCGGAGATTCACGCATCTCCACCGCAATAATAACGCAGCAAGCGGCCCTCGCGCCGCGCGCCGTGTCTGAATCGACTCGTGAGACATCTGGCGGCAGAACCTGGTACTGCTTATTGCGCAAAGCCCCATTAGACACGTCACCGTGATGAATTTCTCGGGATTCAATCTGGACAGATTCCTTCGTCAATTTTCACGGCGTGAGGCATAACTTTAACAATTTTCTTAAGCAAACTGACCGTAAGATCCAAGGTATGGAGGCCCAGGTGCAACACCATAGGTGTTGTTGATAGGTGCGCTCAGCCTCACTTGGAAGCCATAAAAGAAAATAAATTATAAATTAAGAATAAATTATAAAATAAATAAAAGAGAAATATCAGCTTAGGGCAGCTTAAGTCCGGTGTTGTAAACTTCTCAACGCGATATAGGAACGTCAACCGACATTAAGGAAAGTTTTTATATGGGCGAGGATGGATGACATGATTATTATTAATATAACGAGGCTTGAAATGATCTCACGTATGTCAAAGTGTTTTTATTTTAGGCAAAATAAATATCTAAAACAGTAAAACAAGCTTTCGGCATTACGCCATCATCAAGTTTAAACTTGATGATGGCGTAATGCCGAAAGCTTG